TCTTTAATTTTGAAGAAAAATTACTATAAAAAGAAATTTTTAAGAAAAAAGTTGTGTACAGGAAAGAGTTTTTTTTTTTTTAATTACTAAATATATTTTTTAATAACTTTTAAGACAATATCAATTAAATCATGGTACTCTAGCTTCAAGAATTTGGAATGCAATGTTTGTGATATTTGACGAAACATTATTAGAATCAATTTATACTGCAGTTGACTCTGTCGATATTATAATATGGAAAAATTCACCAAAACTGTGAAGTGCTTTAAAGAACTATTTAAAAAAAATGTATACAAAAGTACTTATATGGTATAAATTTTCAAAAAAGTGTGGCCTAAAGAAGAAATTTTCAACAAGCATATTGCCTTTGCAATATCTATATGTGAAATAATTCTAAATCCTGAAAATAATATAATTCAAATTAAAGAAAATTTGATGAAACCCAAAATACTAAAAAAAAAGTAAATTTATATTTTAATTGATATAATCTAAAGAAATTTATTTAATTTTACAATACTACAGGAAAAATTACAAAATAATGAAGTATTCTATAGAGAATTCTCAAATTCTAATAATAATAATAGTATGGATGATGAATAAGATACTACCATAATCCAAGAAACATCGCAGAAAAGTAAATTACAGTAATATGAAATACTTTTAAAATGAGTATAGACAATATAGTAATTATATTTATTTTAAAACAATTTTTAAAAAATTCTAATAATGTATATGTTTTAGGACAAAAATAAAAATAATAAATAATAATTTAAATATTATGTAATATTAATAAATAAATTTTAATAAAAAATTTAAAACATAAAAAATTGTCTATTATATTATCAATTGTTATAAAAAAAATACAATAGCAAAAACGTAAATAACAATAAATATAAATCTTCAGAATCTTTTGAAAAAAACAGAGTATTCTGAAAAATATATATATAATCTTTGCTTCAGAGATCTCTAATGAAAACAGAGATCTATGTTGTATTAATTTTACTAATATAATAATATTTAATGATTAGATTAATAATATAATTTTTTTATTTAGGCAATACTCTATTTTGCTGGCCCGAGAGTATTTTACATAGTATAACAACTTTATCAGCTAAAGAAATAACTTGCAATTTTTCTTAAAACCTTGCAAAAAGAATAGTTACTGCTATTAAAAAATGACAAGAAGAAACTGAGGAAACAAAACATATAAAATATCAAACAAAACAAGATTTGTCTACCTATGATGTTTTAATAGAATTATTAAAAAGAAATAGTGAAAAAAAATAGTGAAATTTTTCTTGAGAGTGATCAAGAATATTCAAGTCAGTATATAAATATCAATTCAAATTGTTGTAATTGATTTGAATAATAAAGCAAATATTTTTATTGTTTAATAAAATTATATATAATAAACTTTTTTAATAAATATATAAATTTTACCATTCAATATATTCACATTTAGCTTTAATTACATTATTTATCCTTGTAAATATTGTTTCTATAAGTTTAATACATGTATTAATATTTATTTTTTGCTTAAAATGATGATTTTTGAATTTTTATTTTTATTTCATTCCATAAATGTTTCATTGAATTAATATCAGGCAACTGTGCAGTCCAATTAACTATAGTAATATTATTACAATTAAACTATTTCAATATCATTTTGACTTGTGTTTAGAATTGTTATCTTATTAAAATAAAATATTTTTTTATTTATTTTATACTATTTTAAGATTGCAAGAAAATCCTTTTCAAGTATTTGACAATAAAGTTCTGTATCCATTTTTTTATTAATTTAATAAAGATTTCCAATATCATATACTGTAAAAAAACTCCAGATTATAATATTACCATTATCAAATTTAAGTGTTGGCCTAATATATTTTTCACTCAATGATTCATTAGGTTTTTTTCAACAGTATTGTTTTTTATTTGAACTATATAACATGAATTTACTTTTATTAGTCTAAATTATTTTTTTTCAGTTGTTAACTATTTAGTCTTTGTAAGTTCTAGCAAATAATAATCATTTTTTTTTATATTTTTTTGAAAGGAAAGGTTTTTTGGATTTAATTTTAGATTTTAATCTATTTTTTTTTAATATATGCCTGATTGTTTCTGTTGAAATATCAATTTGATCAATTATTTTTAATTATTTTTGAATATTAACTATTGTAAAACACTTACCAGTAAATATATAACAAACAATTTTTCTTTCATATCATTTAATTAAAAGTCTTGGTTATTCAGGTCTTGATCTATCATATAGATTTCCAGTTAATAGCATCATTTTTCTTGTATCAATAATAGTAGATTATACAAATTTTTATGTGCAACAATTTGTTATGAAGTATAGCCTTCTTCAAAAAGAAGAATAATTCTTGTTCTTTTTTCTAAAATTAATTGTAGCATTGTTTAAAATTAAAAAAAAATTTAAACATTTATATAATAAAAAATTATGTGACTAATATGAATTAATTACTATATATGTATTGTTTTAATAGTTCTAGAATAAATTATTTATTTGACAATCATTTATGATTTGCAAATATAATAAAAACAATTAATTTTTTTAATTAAAAAATTTTATATAATTTAAATATTAAATATTTATATTTATATAAATTAAATTAAAAATCAATTTTATTGACAAATATAAAAATTAATTAATTAATTAATTAATTTTTGTTGATTAATATTAAATATTTTAAATATAAAATTATTTAAAAACCATTTTTTAAAAATATTAGTTCTAATTTCAAAATATTAATAAAATTTAGAAACATTTATTATTTAAATAATTTATTAAATTTAATTTTTAATTTTTAAATATATATATATATTCTTAATAAAAATTGATTGGTGATTAGTTATTTATGTAAATTACCATATATAAATATATATATATAATTTATAATGTTTTTTTTAAAATTTTTTTTTTTGATTTTAAATTAATATTTTCAAATAAATTTATTAATTAAGCATTAATAAAACTTTAATATTATATTTTTTAGATTTTAAAAAAGATATTTTGAAATTTTATCTTAATTGAATTATTATTTATTAAATAATAATAATAATAATAAACAAGTTTTTTTGTTACACACTATATGTTCAATATGAAAATTAAAAAAAAAAATTTAATAATATAGTAATACAATTATTAAATAATTATTGAATTAACAAATTTAAATTCTAAGGTATTGGAAATAATATAAAAAGTCTGCTTTTATGATCAATAAAATATCAATTGAACATAAATTTTATATTAATAACAATCTTTTTATTTCAAAGTTATATTTACAGTTTATGGATGTTATATAATCAAGACATTAATTGTGCAAATTACTTAGAAAGATAAATTCTAACGTGTTTTTATAAATTTCTTAATAAAAAATTTTATTGGATAGTTTTTATTCTATGAAAAATTAGTTTGAAATTATTTCGATTTTATATATCAATGCCTTTTTTATATAATAGTATATATTTATTAAACAAAAAATTAATTTTGAATTTATTGAATCAAACTAAGGACCAGCACATTGTTGTAACTAAATTTCTAAGCTTAACATCCTAACACAATAATCGGATCCACAACTCACTAATCTTAATTTTACTTTACGTTCATCAGATTCTTCAGTCAAACCACTGTCAATATATTCAGAATCGCTCAAAATAATTCGATTAACACTTTCTACGTGACATTCGCTAAAAAACGGTGGCAGAGGAACCACTATTAGTAATTTGAAATGCCTAACATAATATGAAATATACTAAAAACATTTACTCTTTGTCAACTTCTAATGCCAAACTCCATCTTTCCAATTGGTCGTCTGCCGATTTAAATAAAAAGACCTTGCCACTTTCCAATCCAACCGCAACATAATAACTGTATCAATAATCAAAATGCATTATCAGAAGTTGTTCTTCCCATTTTGGATACATGAGAAAACTTCACCTTTTCCCAATAAGTCTAGGAGCAAAATCAATCGCCGTAACTGCTTCGTTCAACTTTATAGTCGAAATGCATTCCCATTGGATTTTATTCTGAGAATTATCAGCCTGTCGCCATACCTTCACCTGCACGGATAATTACGCATAATAATAATAAATAAATTATTTTACATATTAAAGAAAAGACAAATTTTTGAAATTTATTACCGTTTTATCCCTTGATGCAGTGGCAAACAATAAATCATCGTGACTCCAGGAACAGTCCCAGATTATTCGTGCATGTGCCTTATTTTTGTCCACCAACTTATATGGTATCTCTAATCAAGAAATTTTAATTTCAACAAATTATCTATTAGGATAGTTCTTATATCAATAATCAACAGGATGAGAATACCTTTGTCATCGGTTCTTTCATATAATGACCAGAACCTGTCTCTTGACACAGCCAAGATCCACTTGTCATTATGGGAAAATCTTATTTTGGTAACCGTCAAAGTATGAGATTTCAATGAACTATTTGACAATTCTTTCCATGTCGATGTATTATACATCCTAATTATTGCGTGTTCATTTGTCGTAGCCTAGATAATATAATGTTGAGTAAATCTAGTTTTTGGTGAAGAAACATGCAAACAACTCACCTTGCACGCGCATGCTATGTATTTTCCATCGTGGCTTGCGCAAACACTTCTAAGCTCATATCCATGTCCGTACCTAATTAAGAGAAATCCTTTTATAGTAAGCAAAATCATATTCCTAATTGTAAGATTTAAACAAATGAACCATACAATTTATCAATCTCAGGCCACAAAGTATTTTGTAATAATTGTTCTTCAAATGGAGGTCTATCGAAAGTTTTTAAGGAATTAAGTGTAATTGAAGACGTATGAGCAGGAATCTGCCTATTTAAAAAATCGTCTTCCTCTTGTAATGATTCTAAAGATTTTTCAATATCAGAACTTGATATCGCTTTATTGGACAATCCTAACGGCGGGAGATTGGCACCAACCGGACGAGATTCCTATTCGAGGTGCCGAAAATGTAAACAATGAAAGGGCCGTGATCACATAAGATATTAACAACAAACCAGTTCTCCTAAAATACTATGTTGTCCAGTTATCTTTGCCAAAGACTGTACAAAATTTTTCGGTGCATCAAATACTCTCAATATCTATATAATAAAGTATTATTAATTAAGACATGTTTGACGAACCAAACCTATTACAACTGTAAAATATAAAGCGCACCTTCTCATCGGCTCCGCTGACATACTGCCATTGATTAATAAATGACAAACAATAAATATCGTAACCGTGTATTTGTGGGCGGCTTATTTCATGCCAGGTTGTAATAGAGGGTCGCTTTTCATCTCCCCCATCAGACTCATTAATTCGGCGATTCCATGGAGCAAATAACCTTGCAGTTTGGTCAAGACTAAAAACCATGAACATATTAGTAAAAAATGACACGAAAATGAAATTCAGAGAAATTTTCGAATAAATCTACCTCACAGATACAAGATATCTAAATTTCGGATCCCAATCAAGGTCTTGCACAGAATTAAAATGCCCGCTTATTGACACCTGAGGTTGCCAATCTTGATTTTCTATAAAATATAGATAAGTAATCCTCAGATGATAGAGGCACAAAACAGATAATTTTTAAAGAAATTAACCTTCTTCGTTTAAATTTTTCCATAAATGAAAGGCACCGGTGTGACCATGAGCCAAAGCATAATTTCCATTCGGACCGTATAAGCCACCAAAAAAACCCGAGGCATATCCACCAATCCCACCCATTCGAGCCTATTAAGGTTCATTTATCTGTTTTGAAAATTCTCCTCCAAAAAATAATTATGGAATATCGAACTGAATGATGCATCTTTACCAAATTAACCCAGATTCCAGTTTCAGGTTCAGGCTTCCAAATAATCATTGATTTATCGGATGAGGAGGTAAGAATTGACATTGGTTGATGATAGACATCATTTCCTTTATCATCTATATGATGGAAATGCAATTATTAACGAGATACCCGAAAAAATACTCTTTACAAAAATTTCATTATACTATAAATACCCTTAATGGCACAAGGAGGTTGCCAACAAACGCTATATATCCAATCATCATGTCCTATGAGTAGTGCTTCAAACATCACAGAATACTTTTTTCTATAAAGTAAAATAATTGAGAATAGCAATAATAATAAATGGGTTTATAGTGAAAGAGGTCTATACTTGATATTCTCGTTATTCCCTTCAGACAACACGTCAACCTCTATTATATGAGCTTTTGTGCTTAATTGGATCTTCTTGTTGGACCTAAGTATAAATGACAATAAAATAAACCACAATGGTACATTGGTATTATATTCGCACCTACCCTGTATTATCTTGAATATTCTCCAATAATTCCTTGATGCTGAGTCTCTCAATGTCCTTTGATCCTTCGTTACTTTTAACCTCATCTACATTGACCTCCTCTAAATTTCCAGACTTTGAGGTTTCGCCATTGTGAGAAAATTTCCATAACCTAACATATTTATCTTGCGACGCGCTTGCCAACAATAGATCTCCATCTTTTAATCTATGGTGTTGCAAAATATTTGAGTTCGGGGCGCTAATGACATCATCCTTTGAAGTGTAAGTGGCAAAGGACAAAGATCTGATCCAATTCTCATGCCCTTGGAGTGATAAAGATTTGATAAACTAAAGTAGTGGAGCAAATGTTCATTAGTAAAACTGAGATGGCGGATATAAGTAGAGTAAATAGTGTACTTTATACCTGCCTATCTTTCTGTATATATATGAATATTTTTTTATCTGTGCACCCAATTGCTAGTATAGGGACTAGTAAAAAAAAATTTAATTAATTTATGCGATAAATAAGAAGTATTACTCACATTTAATTCTTTAAATACCTTTTGACTCAGGAAGATAAGATAAAGCTAACGTCATAGGATATATAGATCCAAGGTCAATCGTTTGAATACATTCCACCGAGTCTAATTAATATTTAATTGATCATTTATCTTTTCCATAAAGAACTACATACAACCGAATCACTTTCGCTATACCTTTAATATCATCAATTATAGTTCTCTCCCAAACTTTTATCACACCTTCAGCCGATCCAGTAACAATTAAATCCTTATCAACAATTATGGATTTCGCCTGAATCACCCCAATGGTATTTACCGATCCTCCGTGAGGTTCTAAAATTGCGGAATTGACCCACTAACAGAGTAATAACCAAAGGTAACTGCTACATATTGAGTAAGATTATGGTATTTTAATACGAATAACCTTACTCTTCCATTCTGGCTTCTCTTCCAAATCCAGGCAGTCTTATCCACTGAACCCGAAACCATTGCAATATTTTTTTGATGTAATTCATCACCTTCGATTTGTTAATCGTAGATTTTGTTTAGTCTTAAGTTGAATAATGAAATACGATTAGCGATTCGTTTTTACCTCTATCTATAAAAGTGACACAATTCACCCGATCTTTGTGACCAGACAAAGTTGCTACTATGCCTTTACACTCTCGATCCTATGAACCATTAAAGTAAGCATGAAAAGCTTTCCGATCTGATTTTTAATCTTTCCCGTGATCATATCCTATTGCAAACCATATAAAACCCACCTCGGGATAATATAATGCCACATAATTATGAGCTCCAAATGCGACCAACCCATCTTTTCCCCAAGATGCTACTTGCGGAACTCTATTGCATCCAATGCTAATGTATTCCGTCGATACAGACATTAGGATAATAGGCAAAAAAGGAACTTTATTTGAGTTATCAAATTTTCATCGATTAAATACGTATGATCTTTTAAAAATTCGTACGACCTAACTGGTGCTTTCGTCACGTTAATCGAAATTTTTATTAGATTAATATGAAATGAAAATACAGTAGATAATCATATTTTACAAATAATAAAATAATAAAAAATATTTGGTTTGTCTATTATAATTTAAATAACGTTGCGCAATCACCGAGCGTTAATCAAATTCAAAAAACATGGTAAAATGGAATAATCTACTTAATAATCATGAATATTTTTTTCATACCGTATATTCAAATTACAAATTACATATAAATGTTTTAAATAATTTTTTAATAACAGTATATTTACATATAAAAATATATATATATATTTTTAAATAATAATAATAATAATAATAATAATAATATATTATTATATTACAAAACATTAATTTTATAATGTTAATAATTTTGAAATAATTCAATTATATTTGCAAATATCAATCGAATAATTATTCTATAATTATAGTTTGATATAAGAGTTTTTGAATATATATACTGTATATATGTGTATTATAATTTAATTGTGCTTTTATTTATTATAAAATGTTAAAAATCATTTTACGTAACAATTATGTAAAAATAAAAATGATAATTTAATAAATCCATTAATATTTAATCAATAATTTTATAATTTATTAAATTCACTTGATCATGGATTTTTTTATAATAGAATTAAAAAAAAAAAAAAAACATTTATGAAGCAACGTAACGTAGATTTATTGCGTTTTAAAGAGAATGAAAATTTTATATTAATTAATTTGTGAATACTGTGTACGGTAGAGTATAAAATATTTTAATGTACTTTAAATTCTAAAAAAAAAAAAAATTGCATGTTTATTATTTTATTAAATAAATAAATAAATATAGATATAACAATTGTTATTAAAATTATTAAAATATAAATTTTTTGGAAAAATATAACATGATATAGACGTGTTTCGTAATTATTGCGAAAATTATAAAGTATTCAATTAATTTGTAATTAATTTTGTAATTGCCGAAAAATGGTGTGTCAATAAATCAAGCATTTATCAATCAAGCATCTATAGCGAATTAATCAAATGATAAAATAATTGTAAAATTTAAATTGTCTGACTTACAGGAATTTCAAATAAACGACGCTCGGAAGATCTTTCGCCGTGAACATTCGTTGTAATGATAATACATCAAATGTCAATAGCATGTAACCACGAAATTACCACAGTCGTTACTCTTATGCTAATACGTCATTTATTAACCATCAATATCCGATAAAATTGATATATAACGTGTAACTCAATTTCATGATCTTCTGACATTGTATTAATACTAAATCCCATCTTAATTTTCTTTTGGAACTTTTGAAACTCGCGACTAATATCAAAAAGAGAAATGGACATCGATGAGTTTGACAACTTATCCGAAATATTTGATTTCGAAGAGGACATGATGAGTGATGGAACATTTACTGATATGGTCTCCTTTGACATTTAAATATCTTTTATCTGGCAATCATTCTTTTCCTTTTTCACTAGCCGTTTAAATCCGTTTAAGTGAATCAATAAATCTGATAATAATCATCTCTGTTAAACACGTAAATTATTCGGAAACTTAGATTAAAGATAACGACGCGGAAAAACGTGAACTCGATAGAGATAGATTGAATTCGTTAACCTTTTCAAGTGACCTCGAATTCTTGACCGATGTAACTTCGGATTTTAGTGATAGCAATAGTAAATTGCCGGACGGAAGGTGTCTTTTAGAAAAAACTCAAAATTCAATTGCACTTGATGGTGACAATGAGAAGGAAAGTCGCAACCGATTTTTTTCAGAGAAAAAGAAACCCGAAGTTTCGAGAAAAATGCTGACCCCTATCGTATTTGAAGACGATGAAGATGAACAAGGAAATCACGGGAGGAGCCTTTCAGAAGAAAGTGACATACCTCTTGGGTTTGTGAATCTCGAAAAAGTGAACTCAGACGGCAGCATATTCTCTCACATAACCACCAAAGCCTTTAATCCTCCCAATAGGAGCGTATTTTCGCGGGTAAATTTTAAGAACGAAAACAATACCAACTGCAACGTGTTTTCACGCGTTTATCTCAAGGACAAACGGATTGCTGCTCACTGTGGTGTGATGTCTCGTGTAAGTTACAAGGCCAATTTATCTGAACCATTGAACGGAAACGCTGGCGTAGGGCATGCATCTCTATCATGTTCCGAATTCCCAACAGAGATCGTCAATAAAAAGGTGAATATCGACGTTCTTTTCATCCACAAATATATCATTCAATTGTGTCATTCATGATTGTGCTAAATAATTGACCTCTCGGCATACCTGAAAATAAAGTTCACGATCAAACCATTAATGTCATCACAAAGCGTCTCCAAGAAAAGTCCCGAAGAAAAGAAAACGGCTATCTTGCATCTCCAAGAACTGAAAATTGGGAGCTTCACCAATAATTTTCCATGTGCAATTGAATTGAATCCTAATGAGCATACAGTGAACTTTATAAATCTGCAAGCTAACGGAATCCAAACTGAAGGGCCTCATCGTCTTAATATTCACATCAAAGGAGTCGAGAATTACGTAAGAGACGGATATGAGATTGAGATAGGATTGAAGAAGAAAATCCGAAAATGGATCATACCTGTAAGTTTTTGTGTATGTGATAGTTAATGACGCGTTAATTTCTTTCCTAACGGCCTTGACAAAAAAAAAAAAGGTACGAAACGTAATAAACATCGATGAAGTTACACTTTCGATTGATCCAACTGACGGCATCATTAACAAAGCGGAGTCGATCAACATGGTTGTTTCGGATCGAGAGGGTCCCGATAATCTTAAATATTGGGATAATATGTTTAGGTGATTATTAGACCACCGTTCAAGTTTCATGGAATAACATTCGAGAAATTGAAAATTTTCCGGTTTATTCTATAATAGGGAAATACAGAATTTGTCTGTTGAACCTATCACGATAACGGATTTGCCCATTATGAAGGTCATTATTTTAATCACGCGTTGGCATGCATATATAGAAAATCTCATGATCCCTTTTTTAACAAAATAGGTTCCAATCCGCATAAATTATGAGAAGAAACGAATTCCTTGTCAGTTTCTATCAAATATTTCATTAAAAGATTTCCTTCAGCTAATGCGACAAAAGTGCAATGATCAGACTATTTGTCAACCATTCTCGTGTGCCATGAACGGAATTAACGGAATTTTGGGGGTTTATGATGAGAGAGATTGGGAAGCATGTAAGATGATGATGACGGAGAATTGGGATGAATTCAATGTGAAAGATAAATATGAGATAACACTTGAAGTATACATTGAAAGAAAAAAATTCAATAAGAAATTCTAGTAGATTTAAATAATAATCTTGATGTAAGACTTCGATTTTTTTTGTATTAACAAGATATTCTTGCAAATTATTGTGTTTTAGATTATGGTTAATTTCCTGCAAGAATAGCATAAGATAACAACAATAATGAATATTAACATTGGTGAGTGGCGTTGTATAGTTATTAATGATAATAAAGGTTTCTAAATACAGTATTAGAGGGAACCGATTAACAATTCTACAATTGAGTAAAATATCAATAGTCGTTATTTTTTTGAAAACAAGAAATATTTCACCCTTCTCCATTCGACCCGTTCGTTCCCTCTTGAGGAAAATGTAATTTACAGAATTTTCAACCTAATTCATTCCAACATACAGTATATCGATTTCTTTTTTCTTTTTTAAA